CCTAGGGGCGTGGTCACCATGGAGAGCTCTCTGCCTTCAGGTCCCCCTCCTTTCGGGATTGTGGGACTGCATGAACATATGCGCGGGATGTTTTTCAAGCCTCCAGGTCTGACACTCCATTCGTGGAGTGGGCCATGTGGGGTCCAGCCTCCTAAGCCACCAGACCATGGAGACGGCCCTGCAGTGTCCACTGTCCAGGCAGCAGGAAGGTGCCCCTGAGGAGCAGGCGGGAGGGAGTCTGCTGTCTGAGGTCCTTCTGCCTCTGCTTCCCCAGGGTCCTGCTGGTGTTCCTGAAGGAAATCTGACCTGTGTTTTGTCACTCCTTCCCCCTCCCAGCAGGGAAGGCAGAGGGCTGGGGTTGGGGTGAGATAAGCTTCCTGTCTTATCATACTCGGGTATTCAAGAGTCCAAGGTCCCTTCCCAGCTCCTTTCTCATTTTGAATTGCCTGGAGGTGGAGGCCAGGACTGGGGGTGGAAGGCATCTCCTGGGAACTCTAGCCCCTCCATCATCTAGGAAGTCCCTGGACTGAAGCCCCTCAATGGCAGGCTCCCGTCCTCACCTCTGTTACAGTCCCCAGAATGAAGAACAGTAGCGTAAGGATAATGTGTCCAGCCCCGTTCCTGACACTCAGCAGGATTTAGTAACATTTCACTTTCCTCTTCTGTCTTCTCATGAAATCCCCCAGTGACTCTAGGCCTTGAGAAGTCTCCCCATCAGGCAGGGAGAGGTGGTGGCAGTGGGCAGGTGAGGGTTCCAGCTATAAGAGGGCTGGCTGGGCAGGTGTTCCATGATAACCCGTGGGCCCCCCTCTGCTCCTCTGTTCTGTGGTTTCCTTCCTGATAACAGGGTGCGATGTCCAGAGGGCAGGGCAGGCTCTGCCCAGGCTCTGCTCTGCAAGCTTTCACTTCAGATGCTGGAAGGAGCCAGAGGGGCTGAATCTTCTCCTTGGGAGGGTCAGTGGCAGCCCAGGGCTGGGGGCTCTGTGGACACTGCCATCTTCTGTGCCCTTCTGGGAACCACCTTCCTCTCAGAGATGAGGCATCCTGGACCCTCAGGCTTGGTTCCAGAAGCAAGAGCTGGGCTCTGAGAGTAGCTGACAGCAGGTGCAAACTCTGAGGGTGGACTTGGGGTCTACTGGGGTGCCCATGGCTCTGAACTTTCTCCAGCTGCTGAGCTTAGAGATGCTCCAGGAAGTCACAGCCTTTCAGAGCTGGGGACAAAGAGGATCCAGGAACAAGGCCTTCCAGCCTGGCACAGAGGTAAGAGGGCTGGAAGGCAGGTGTGGGCCAGGAGGGGAGGTCAGGACACTGTGAGGCTGTAGGGGAGGCTGAGGATGTGGCCGGGCCTGAGCAGAGGGAGGGGACTGGGTAAAGGTCTTGCTCTAAGAGGATCAACCGTAGTGAGGGCTGTTCTTTTATTTGTTTTAGTGACGTATCTGCAGCAGTTATAGGACCATGTCTTGTTCCAGTTATATGCAGTGACCACAAATGTAAGTCCACGCATCCTTGTTCCCAGCTTGGGAGGGAGATGCTGTTACTGTCCCTATTTTGCAGATGAGGAAACAGACAGAGAAGGTCCAGAAAGTTGCCCAACATGGTCACACTGAGCATGGCTGAGCCCAGATGGGAACCCCACAGGGAGCCCCAGAGTCTGTCCCAGCAGGACCCTAGGCTGTCCCTTCCCCCTCCAAGTAGTCAGTGGTTTGGGGGCCTTTTCTCTGACTCCTCTAGCAGAAATCTTATTGAAATTTATGGAGGGCAACATTTCACCCTTCAGTGGGGAATCCCTTAATACCTGATGCATGCAGGGCCCTAACAGGAAGGGAGCTCCGAGGGATTGAAATTTAGGTGAACAGAACAAGCAGGAAAGTGGGGCACCTGTGATGGCCCCACAGTGTCCCTGAGGACATGGTCTGTCTCTGAGTTTCCCATTAGTGAGCAACAGCAAGGTAGCAGGATCTGGTGTGTCTTTCAGGAGGAGGGTCTGGCCTCTGGGTCCTCTGTCCGGGGTGGGGAGGTCACCTGTGTTTGTGAGGGATGCCGAGATAAGGAGCGGTGTCCACCACTGGGCCCTAGGTGTTTAGAAGGAAGGACCTGGTTTTCTGGACAGAACGGAACTGAGGTGTGGTTGCAACTGGGTGGGAGGGAGAAGATCAGTTTCTTCCCAAACAAACCTAGTGGCTCCCTAAAACCAGAATCTTCCCAAACAGGCCAGGAGGAGCCTGGGTCAGCTCCCTGTGGGTGTCAGTGTAGTGGAGCCCCCACCCCCACCACGACCAGCAGTAGGAAATGCTTTGCTCCCCAGAGGCGCTGATGTGGTGGAGGCCCAGAGCTCGCTGACCTGCCTCCTGCCTCCCCCTGCTCCCTGGCTGCCCTGACCCCGTCTCTCCCCAGCTCTGAGCACATGGAGGGCTGCTGCAGCTGCTCCTGGCTCCACCTTCTCCCCTCCCTGCTTCTCCTGGTCCATCTGCCCCCCGGGGGGTTCCCAGGTGAGTGTCCCCCTCCCTCTCTGTGTCTCCCTCTGGGGGTGGGAGCCTCTGGGTGGGTCTCTGCTGGGTCTCTCTGTCAGAGCCCAGCTCTGGAAAGACGATGGTGCTCCATGAAGGACCAAGTGTAACTAAGAACTTCACATGGGTCACTAAACCCTGATGGAAGTGTAAGGGATCTTGATAGTTGTCCAGTGGAAGGCATTTGATGTGTTTTGTTTTGTTTTGTTTTCCTTTGAGAGATTTTTTTGCTCTAGGGCATGTGTACTCACCCAGAGACAAAGACAGAGGGACAGAAGACCAGAAATTACCCCCAGACACAGGGTCACACTGCAATTCCTTCTTTTCCATTCTCCTCCTGGGATTCTGGGCACACACACACACATGCCTGGTGTGAGTTTGAAGCCACTGGATTCAGGGCTGAATCACGGTTGACTACGTGGCAGTCCAGCGATGTAATCATTATGTCATTTGCTGGTTTCATGTTTTTGATGCTTTAGAAAGTCAAATATCAAAAATTTGAAATACCTTTCTCCCCAGATGTGGTTTCTCTGCTGTGCTAGTATTCTTTTTTTTTCTTTTTTGAGAGTTTTTTGCTATAAGGCGCGTGCGCTCGCCAGACAGACAGAGAGAGACAGAGAGACAGAAAGCGAGAAATCACCCCCCAGAGGG